AGAATGATCATCATTTTTATAAATTGGAATTACTTTTGCTAATTTTAGTACATCAGAAAATATGACTTTTTATATAAATGCCTCTTTAAAACATAAAAGAAACTATATCTAGCTGATAAAAATATAATATTTTTTAGAGTTAATCAGGCTTTAAAATGTTAAAAATAAAAATTAACTGAAAAAAAACAACAACTTTTTAGTTGTTTCATACAACAAGAATTAAAAATTTATTGAGTTTAAAGCTGTGGAAATTTTGTTGCTACTCGGCTATTCCACGTTGTCACGACGTGACATTTGACTTTTTTTTTTTTTTGGGGGGGGGGGCGTAAAGTATCAGATTTTAGCGCATTTAAAATTAAAAATTTGAAAATTAAAGATACTAAAAAATTTAAAAGTTTCTAAAAACAAAATTATTTAGTTGGAATATTTTATAGACTTTAAGGTATACGCATTAAATTGTTGTGTCACGACGTGACAAAAATTATCTAGCATTTTCCGTCATTACAAGAAATGACAGTAGTTCAGCTCTTGTGGATATTTTGAAATATTTTTATATTTTGAAATATTTTTTATGTCTCGGATACTTAAAAGGTGTTATAATCGTTTTATAACATTTTTAAAATGTTTTATAAATTTAAATGGAGAAATCATATAAATATAACGACGGAGTTTACGTCACACTGTGACGTCAAGGTGTGACTAGTACAAAATCTTTGAATATTAACCCAATAACATCATCAAAAAGACAGTTGAAACAAAAGAAACCATTTTATTCGGATTTTTATAAGATTGGTAAAACAATAACGTTTAACAAAATAGTTTATTTACAATAATTTCAAAAAAAGTCTGGTAAAATTCAAGTACGTGTTTTTATCAAATTTTACCTAGTTAACTAAGTATGATATTAATGATGTTTCCAAGTTCTGTGCCATCAAAAGCACTTTTAATTTTTTTCAGTAGCAACCATGAAAACGTTTACTTGACTTCCATCTCTGACGGCTTTATAAAATGCTGTTGCGCCAATTATTAGAGCTTCTCTTCGAACAATTTTTTGTGTTGCTAATCTTTTTATGGTTGCTCCTATGCCATCGCATGGTTCTTTACCATGAGAGGTTGCAAAATAATTCCAGCAAATTTTAATTTTGTGCTTGCTTTCAAACCATGGAATTAAAGCTACTATGTAACAATTTTTGCTAGGACCATCAGACTAAACTTGCAAGTATTTTCAATCCTTTCTATTAAGGTTAGTTATTAAAAAGTCAATAAAATAAATAACTGAACTTCTTAAATGGTTCAAATCATCAGAAATGATGATTTGAACCATTTGAACCACGGAGGACAAAGGCTAGATTTTCTTCCCAAGCCGCAGCACTTTCTCCCTCTGTTCTCCTTCTGTTGTAAAAACTCCTCTTGTTCTTCGTCCTTCATCTTGAAAATTTTCATCACCAGAATATTCGTTTAAAAGCGTTACTGCTCTAATCATATAAGCTGCATTGTCTACACTTGCACATACTATTTGATCCTTGCTGAATCTATATAGAGTTTTTTCCACCATTTTTTTGAAAGCAGCAGAGTTGTGCTGTCCTTCTGTCTCTATCAGTGCCAAAGTTTTAACTTGATTTTTTCCTGCATAATAATATTGAATATTTATTCCCAAATAGTACTTTTGGTGTCGAGTGGCTGTATCTATTTTCACATATAAAAATTTCTGTAACAGTATTTCTTTTATTTCAGCTTTCTTTTTTTCAGCAAATTCATTAATTGAATTGCGTACAGAATCGTGTCCAATACTGAATCCAAGAGTTTTACCTAATTGGCCAGTAACCAACTGAAATCCTTTATCCGCAAATGTTTTTAACGAAACTCTGTTATTCACTACCATTTTAATAATTTCCATTTTAAAAGTTTTAGCACGAACTTGATTTATTGTTCTACTACTAGTGATAGCAAAAGAATCTAAAGTAGATTAATCTAAAGTATAATCTAAAGCTTTGATTTTTTAGTATTGAAATCTTGTGAATGTGATAAAAATGATTCTGAAGATTTTTTTTTGGTCATAAGGCTCATTTCAAATTCAACAATTTTATATTCTGATAAATGTGATCTTTCCAAATGCATTTATCTTTTATGTAATCTTGCATGTCGCCAGTTTTGTAATTTTATCAATTGAAAAAAACTTATCTAGAAGCCTCTCAAGATTGTTTGAGTTTGAAGCCATTTTTATTAAAAACTATAGATAAAATAAACGACAATTAACCATTATATAGCAATATATAATTAATTCGCATTAATAATAAAATAATTTTAAAACTTAACTATTCATTGATTAATTTTAATTGGAGCTCGCATGTTTTAAATGTTTTAACTTATTAAAAACGTAAAAACGAATCATGTGACTTAACACAGGGATAAAGTATATTTTCATTAACCAATCATTGAGATTGTTTAGAAGTTTTGTTTTAAAGTAACTTATCAAACTCAATAATATGAACCACATGACATATTACACAAAATAATTTGATAATTATTAAATTCTCAAAAAATTTTGAGATTTTAATTATTATCAATGTCATATTAATATCACAATATTATAAAACATTTAATATTATAATAATTGCTAGTTTACCATTTTATTAGGCATATGATAAAATGCTATATTTAGAAATTATAAATATTTTTGGCCTAAATATTTGATTTCTTTGAAAAAAAAAAAATAACTTTATGCAACTTTGATTATTCAAAATATCAAAGAGCGGAGCTGGCTTGGAGCTGGCTCCGAAGCCAGCTCTAACAGGAAATATTTTAGCTTCAGTTCCGGCTCAGCTCCATGTAAAATCACGAGCTCCGGACAGCTTCAGCTCCGGAGCTGCTCCAAAGCCCTATTTCTAGGCATTAAGCTTGATAAAAGTATATGGCCTGGTCTCAAACTAGCAAACTTGGATTAGCTGATTGAAAAATCAGTGTGTTCGTTTTTAAATACTTGATATGCTTCACTTATATTCATTGTTAAATAACTTTTTTGCATTTTCTTTTTTCTTTATTACTTCTTAAAACAATCGTTTCTCTTACTCCAGGTGCCTGACGGTATAGACCATCTTGTTCAAAAAAACTAATGACGCTTAGCTTCGTTTCATAATTAAGAGCATTAATTCCATGTGTTGGTTGCGTATCTGGTAAATCCTTGTTAAACTGAATTGCAAGTTGTTTACCAACAGTTGCTTTTTTAAAAGGAGAAGTTGGAAGTGCACTTATTATTTTTTTAACAGCTTTACCAAGTGTACAAAATGATTTGTAAGCAGGAGAGATGTTAGATGTTATTTTAGATGAAGAAACTCTACTCCTTTTTTTTCTTAACTTGTCCTTTAAACGTGCTTTTCAACATTAGAATTTCGTTTTTCCTTTATCAGTATTGAGTCCTTTTCTTTTATAAAATCCAAATTTTTGCAATAAAATTTTTATAAAAACCAAATTTTTGCATTTGTCTTTCTCTATACTTTCTCTGGCGTTCAGCATGTGTCAGAGGCATTTTCATTACTTTCAACAAAGAAATAAACAATTTGTATGTAAAAGTTTACTTTTTATAAGAATTGTATAAACAATAAACATTCAGAATAACGTCAGCAATGGCGCGACAAAATTTAAGAAAAACTAAATAACAAAGGTGTTGGTAAAATATGTCTACATATTTACAGGTATACCTAAAAGTTTAATAAAAAAAAACAATGTTAGTTATATTAAAGGAAGTTACAAAACTTATCCACAAATAAAAATACTACAAATGTTAAACCAACATGTTTTTTGTGTAACATTTTTATAAAAATTAGTCTTTAAAAAAATTAATTTTAAAAAATGTCACGCCGTGTCGTGACAACGTGACATAAACTTAAAACACATCACAAAAACTAAAAATATTTAAACTTAAATATCTATTGATATTTATTGCCCTATTTTAGTTACAAGTAATTTATAAATATTTATTTAAATAAATTAGAAATAAAATAGAATGAAAAATGTTACTATTAGTGTCACGGCGTGACATCGCGAAGTTAGAATTATTTTGTTTTATCTCCACATTTTTGAGTTTTGAGATAAAACGATTTAAAAAATAAAAACATTAGACGATGGTGTATAAAAGTTTTGTTATAACTTATGTTTTCTCCGTAACCTTTTTACTTACAAATTAGGTTTTAATACAGTAGAAAAACATTATTTACAAAACAAACTCAGTAACTCAATTTTTTCGAAAAGTGGAGATAGAACAAGAAAATTCTAACGTTGCGACATGTCACAGCGTGACAATCTTAAAGAAGACCAAATAGAAATTTCTCAATGAAAGACAATTTATATTTTGCGTGAGACAAATCTACATAGAAATTTAAAAAAGGTTCAAAAAAAAAAAGGTTTTAAAATGATTTACTAGAAAAATAATTTAAATTTGAAGTCTAAAAAGTTTTGTTCAAAGTTTAAGCATCAAATCGTAAAATTCTTCGAAAACCAGTTCTACATGTTACATATTTTTAGAAACTACAAACCTTTTACTTTTGAATGATACATTTAGTTTTTTATTTTCTAGGATGTGAAATTTATATTAATCTTTTTGTACAACGTGGAATAGCCCTATTGTAATCATTTTTTGAGTTAATATTTATACTTAATTTATGGACGACCCATCAGCCGCTTGTAAATTTGATTTTTTGACGTTTTAAATGTTAAGTTTTATTAAAATGTTATTTTAAATCCTCCTCCGCAATACACTATGATAAAACCGTTAGGACTTCACCTTAACAACTAAAAAACTAACGAATAAGCTGTAGTTATTAAGTTTATAAAGTCAATTGAAATAAGTACATAAATTATAAATTTTGAGACCCTAGGAAAAAAAGTTTAAGATTTTTGATGCCAAATAAACAGACGACGACGCGTATTTGTCACCCCACAGTACTTTGCCAAAGTTCAAATATATGCCGAAGGACAATTCAATTAAATAACAATAACCAAAATATTTTTTACAAATTTAATTAAAAAAAAAAAAGAAAAAACGAAGTACAAATTTTTTCTTATGAGAAAGGTGGAAAAGGAACAGGCTTTCTTAGTTTATAAAAACAGCCCTTGGGCATCGAGTTATCTCCGACGGGAAGCAAAGCAAGATAAGTAGGTGTATCAGCGCCTTCATCTGGAGTTAACATGTTATCATAATTTCCACCAGTCATATCAGTATTGACAAGACCCGGACAACAAGAATTAACAATCATGTTTAATTCAGGATTTTTGTCAAACTCCCGTTGCTGGAGTTGTGTCAAAATTGAAACACCAATTTTAGACATTCCATATGCGAATTTAGGCCATCCATTTTCGACTACCGTGTCATTTTTTGCATGTTCCACAAACAACAAAAGTAATTCTTTAAGTCCTATAAAAGGTAAAAATTAAAGGGTATTATGTTTTCATAAACAAAATAATTTCTAATTATTTTCTCTCTGATTTTGTAACAGAAATAACATAGAACACATGCAAAATTAGAAAAATATTGTTTATTATAAACTTGAATTTATTTTATATAAAACAACTCATTATCTTTGAACTTATCTATATAACTACGTAAAATCTATTGACGTAACCAAGGACGTATTATTAGATATTTATATATATTTACACGTCCTTGATGCAACAAAGACGATCGAAGAATGAAACAAACATTTTTTTATTTTTTTTAATTTGAATTTTTCATGCTATATTTTTCTATACAATATGCAACGTTGTTTGACATGTTTTCTAAAAAAGTCAGTGAATTTTTTTTCTAAACCTCTTATTTTACCACTTTATTATCAATACTTTTAAAATTAAGTAATTATCTATGTGATGTATATGAGGTATATAATTAAATTCAATGATATTAAGGAAGCTATACGCACATTCGAATAGTATTACATTACATAAAAAAAATTTATTTTGTCCTTAGATTGAAAGTTTTTCTTAACCAGTTTTGCTTATAGCTATAATAGCTGTCTGTATCACAGAAACTTTGCTTCTGTGATTGGGACAAAGATATTTTGAAACACGCAGCTCAATATTTACACATGATACGTAGTTGCACTAACGCAACAACCAATCATCATAAATCTTTAGGAGAGTATAAGACACATAATGGGCTAGTGGACTGAATTTTTTTTTTGTAAAACGTGATTCTTCTCAAGTTATGAACATTCTACCACAAAGTCAAAAATCTCACTTTGCTCGAGGTTACCCTAAAAGGGATTGAGATAAATAAAGCAACCAGAAAATTTAAAATTTACGCTACCAACTATTTTAAAAGTGCTATACCAAATATTTTGGAAATGCGCTACCTTCCGCCTCTTTAAACTCCTTGAAACTGTTACCGCTGTTCAGCAACTTTTTCAATACTTAACTTTTATATCTAAGGTTTTATACCAAAAAATTAACAATATGTATATTAGGCCAGTACGCAGGGTTTTTTTTATGTTTCAGACACGACACTTTCAAACAATGTACAAACTCCAAACTTAAGTATGTTCATACTTATGTCGAATGAGAGAAAAGTATCAAAATAGTGTGCTCCCCCTAACACGACTTTGAGGGCAATGAAATAATAAAATATATATTTTTAAAATATTATACTAGATTTAAATTCATCAACAGTCTAATTTCGTTTGATAGTCTTTTAGAGTTCCAAAGTAAGATCATAATTTTGAAGGGTAAAAAATTATTAAATTAAAAACGTCGATGAATTTAAATTTAGTATAATTTATATAACTCTAAATAAATTAATTTTTTTAATTAATTGTTCCTATGCTCAAATCATGACAATTTTTTCCAAAATAATCTCATTTGACATAAACATGAACATAACTAATGTTAGAGTTTGCATTATGTCTAAAAGTGTCTTATCTGAAACATCAGAAATCCTGTCTACAAGCCCATATATAGTATGCAGGGTGGCACTTAAGTCACTTTACCATTTTAAAATGCATTATCTTTTTTGTTACTATTTTTTACTATATTCAATATTTGAAAAAAAAAACTATGACTTACAAAAACCTTTTTTCAAGTTATTTTAATCAAACTGTAAAAGTTTGAGTAAAATAACTTGAAAAAAGTCTTTAATCAATGACTTTAATCAAACTTTTGCAGTTTGATTAAATCTCGCACAAAACTTCATAAACTTTTTATCGCCTAAAACCATATGATTTCCGTTTTTTTTAAAAGATTGGTTTCAAAAGATAATTTTCAACAAAACAATTTCATGCAATGAACAGTGTTGGAGTCAATATGCAATTGAATTTAATAATAATGCGCTATTTTGTCGATTTGTATAGTATTTGCTAAAAAAATTTGTATTTAATTGTAGTGTATTGGCAGAGCTGACTCAGAGGTCGGAAATTTTAGAGATTTTTCCTGAGGTCCTAGGCAAGTAGTCTAATTAACTAAATACCATCCGTGATTGTGAACAACTTATTTAAATAAGAGGAGGAGGGAAGTGGGGGGGGGGGGGGGGGAAGAGACTATGAGGAAGAGGGGCGTAAGCAATCTGTCTCTTAACAATAAAATTTTTTAACATTCTGATGTGATACGTATATCTTACGCTTAGAGCGATATAGCATGTTTTTTTGGGTTCCCTTAATTTACCTTTAAGTGTCAAATACCCTACATTTGTAGCTGTATTGCTAATATTGTAATTCTTTTTGAATAAAAAAAAGTCAAAAACTTTAAACATACAGAGATTCAAATGTTTATAAGAAAGATCTGTATATCAAAGATCTGTATATGTTGTTCATGAGATTTACATCGCTTAAATACAATAACATAAATCTAATAGTGTTTGGAACATTTATGTATAAGTTACTCAACATTATGTATAAGTTACTCACCATTATGCATAAGTTACTCAACGGAACACCAAAAGTATTATAAGCAGTAGTGACAAGCTCAGCTAGAGGTTCACTAATAAAAGTAGAGTCAAAACTACTCAACATAGTATCTAATAAAAATGCAGTAGTAGCGGTAGCTGCATGGCTAGCAAAAGATATATTCTTAAAAGTAAAGGCAGTGTTTAGAGGTTTTTTTTTCCACTTCCAACAATTCTTCACTTCTAACAAGGGTGCAAGCAACCACTATATGAGTTGAAAGTTACTGGAAGATAAAATATGAAGTTTATAAAGCAAGATAACATTTAATAAACCTTAAAAGATTGCAATTATAAAAATTATAAAGAAAAACAAGAATAAAGGAGCAAATTTCAAAGAAATGATGTTTGAGGAAAAAACTAGACAAATAAGAATTTTTAAAGCATTTAGGAACAGCCACAGTAAAGGGACAAGACTTAATTGAATGACGAGAAACACGAGAGTGAATTTTAGTAGATGGCACAAGAAAGGCTAGCACTTTAATTGAATGACGAGAAACACGAGAGTGAATTTTAGTAGATGGCACAAGAAAGGCTAGCACTTTAGAGCAGTGCCCATGATAGTATTTAAGAAAAAAGAGAAGCAACAGTATGATGATGTGAAAATGGTTGAAGGTTAGCTGCAAGAGCAGGTCCAACTATGTTTACAATGCATTTTTGCACCTTGTTAGGAAAAAGGGCATCATTCGAAGATCCACTCTAGATATGGCAACAGTATTCCATACAAAAACGGATTAGGGATTTACAGAGATAAAGAATAAAATCCGGAGTAAGAAAGTAGCAAGCATGATAACAATTAATGGTAGTATCATCAGCAAACAATGCCAACTTAGATGTGACAAATTCTGTTAGAGATTGTTAGTGTAAATTAGAAAAAGTACTGGGCCAAGGTTAGAACTTAGAGAAACTCCTGAAGTTACAGAAAATGAAGGAGTGCTGTCTATCGAGGACAACTTTATACTACGATTGGTAAAGAAGGATTCACTAATCTTATAAATGTTGCCTGATACACAATAAAAAAATAGCTTACGGAGAAGATCAGCATGCCAAACTTTTTCAAGGTTTTAGAAATATCAAGAGCATTAGCCATAACCTCTCCACATCTATCTAATGCATGATAAAACTCAGTTTTACTGTTAACAAATTTGCAGTAGAATGAGAAGATTAAAATCCATATTAATGAAAAGAAAGTAAGTAATTAGATTCAAGAAGAGAGACTAAGTGTTTGTTAATTAAAGATCCAAAAACTGTTCTTATGATAGTAAGAAGACTAATGTGACAGTTGTTAGATGAATCAGATCGCTCTCCAGAACTTTTAAAAATAGCGATAATTGATACCGCTTTCCAGATCGCAGACTGGAAAACAAAACTCTGATAAGCACTGATAAGACTATAACAAGTATGTTATCTGGACCACAAGTTTTAGAAGAGTCTAAACAGAAAATTACTTTAAATACAGAAACTGGAGTGATACGAATGTAAAACAATGGATCAACCTGTTTGTTGGCAATATAAGGTTGGATGTGATTAGTAGAATAAAGAGATAAAATTGATGAAAGTTCTTAGCAATCAATTCAACTTTGTATTTAGGTAAGGTAATAAAATCTTAACTATGCAAGGAGGACAAATTAGAGATTTGCCTTTTTATAGACACTGTTAAAGATACTCCAGAGCTATCTACCTGGAGCTTAATTTTTTTGAGATAAAATACAAGATTTTGTGATCTGAGAATTTTGGTGGACTTTGGTGTTGAAAAAACCTTTTTACAATGGCATCTGGCAGTAGTAAACAGATGTCTGTTTTCTAGAGAATTATTTTGGTGATAGATAAGGAAATAATGGTTACGTTTAGAAATTGCAGCATCACAATGAGAGGAAAGCCACCAAGAAGAGGAAAGCCACCAAGAAGAGGGACGCTTGGCTTGAAATCTTTGCACGAGGTACAATGATAGAGGGAATCTGATGATGAAGAAGAATGAGATAATAGTTTTAGAGAGATCAAACCGTGATTAGAAGTACCTAAGGGTCAATGTGGGGAACTGAGCACTGACTAGAATCAAAAACAAGACAGTCGAGTAGAGAAGGTAAATGATTCAGATTGTCTGGAAAGCAAGCTGGAAAGTTTACTATTTGTTTTAGAGATTAAGAAAGACAAAAGTTGTGGGCCTACTAGAAATAAGCTTTTTAGTGTGATGAGCATTAATGTCACTAACAACAATGATATTAACTGAAGGATAAAGAGAAAGACTTGTTAATTTGATCAGAAATAACATTGAAAAGAGTGCAGTTTTGAGATAAAGGTGAGCGATAAAGAACAAAGAGAAAAGTTAAAACGAATGCAAATGCCCAGGTCAAGCACATGTCTATCTTTACAAATTAAAGGAAAATAATCATCAACACTAAGATCACAAAATGAGGCAACTGAACTAAAATTAGTTTCACAAAGAGCAAGCAGGTTTGGTGGACTTTGCATAGGCGGATAGTACTTAGTACACTATCAAAAAGTCCAAGCAATTGCCTCATTACTGTTAATAAACCCTAAGTCATAACTAAAGGCTCTAAATGTGGCCTCAACAATGCACACCAAAATTACGAACAGGGTCACCATCTATGCGCAAGATGGCACTGTTAGTAGTCTGACATTTTTCAGCTGTTGATGGAATCAGCCTCTCTGTGAGCTACCACAGATTTTAGGAAACCTAACTACCAGTTGGCTTTAGAATCATTAAACTAAGTTTTAGAGCTGTACCCTCATTAAGAGATAATAGAATGAGTTGACTAGACATAAAAACAGAGTTACAAGCACATCCATGCAATGAGTCATGAAGATCCAGCATTAAACATCCTAAACTGGACATAATGTATTATAGCCAGCCTAATAGATGAAGTTGATAAAGTATATTTTAATTCAAACAGCTTTTCAAAGAAGTACAATTTTTATTTTCCTCTTTCAATCTTTACTTAATTGTTGAAAACGCTTTCCTTTCGCACCAGACAAATTCCATTGAAGTAAACCATAGAAAACACTAATAGTAATGATACTAAAATTATAACAAACTTTTTTGAAATTTGGTTTGAAACTAAGAAATGAATAAATAGCATATAAATAGCTTTAAATAATGTGAATACAAACGTTTTTAGAACAAGTCTGTCATTTCTCTCTTGTGCAACAAAAAGTGTGTTGGGGCAAACCCCCACTTGTCTAGGGTCATGCCATCTAGCAATCAGATAAAGTTATATTTGAGTCAAATTTAGGCAGAATTCAATCAGTCTAAAAGAAGTTATCTAATCACTAAGAATTCAATTCTATCTAATAAAGTCAGTCTGTATTTAAATATTTGGATTTGACATACAATGCAATGTATTTACTATAAGTCGCAATTTACTATAAAGAAAATATAGTCTTTATAATTTTTTTTTTTTTTTCAAATAAAAATTTCTGTAGTTTTAATTTTGGTAATAAATATGGCATACAATTTTTTAATTTAGTAGTAGTTCCTTTTTCATTACAGTTCAATATGTTTGATGACGTAAAATGATAACACACATTCACCAGCACATTTATTCTTCATAATAAAGTTTTAATTTTTTCAAGATTAGCTAAAGCATACTCATATGCAAAACCTGATCTGCTTTAATGTAAGGGGTCTTCCATAAAGTAAACATGCAGGTATGGGGTCAACCAAAAATATATGAATGCATTTAAGGAGGAGGTATTAAATTTTTTTTTTATTACTTGAATTCTTTTTTTTAAATATTGCAATGTTTCTATGCTTTACATAAAATATTTTTTTGTTCAAAAACAAATTTTAATGCATCAATCATATCCTTCTTGCAAATCTTTGTTGCCAACATTGTTACTTGGCATTTTTAAGACTAAAACATATTAACAGAACTTAATAAATTTTTGCTCTTACATCTTTATAGCTGTACAGAAATCAATTATAATTGGTATAATTTCCAAAAAGCCTTAGAGTTTATATCCTGATAAATTTTATGATTTTTTATAAAATTGGTCGCCCAAAGTTTTCAAAAAATCAAAGTGCAATTAAAACTTTGCTCTCTTTCTTCTTAAGACTGCACTCTTAAATGTATTTATAATGGTATCATATAGATGTATCATCTATATGGATCGGTCAAAAGTACAACATTCGACACTGGTCTTTGACAATTATTACCTCAATCCCCATTTAGGGTTAAAAAAAATCATCTAAACTTTTTCATACCAAAAAAAGAAAAATGTTGGTTAATGTTAACTTCACACATTATTCAAACAACTATTTATGACAGCTTTATTATCAAAATAAAATAAACACAATTATTTACTTTTTAAGTGCAAAAATTATAACTTCTTGTGGATCAACGTGACCTATTCCAAACATGATTTTTTATGGTAAAAAGATTTTTTATGAACTAATATTTCAAGTGGCACTTTTTTGGTGGATATAAGTAGATCCTATAGCATTGAGAACTATGCCAACAATGCTTATTTCAATAGCTTCGGTCAAACACAGTTTTTCCAAATTGAAGTTGATCAAAAATTATCTAAAATCAACAATGCAAAAGAATCAGTATGAGGGAGTGGCTATGTTGCCAATAGAGCAGGAGGTAACAAAACATATAAATTTTGATGGTGTTATTGAGGAATCAACAGTAAAATTGTACACAATAGGAATAAAAAATTTATGTTAAAGTGTATATTATTGTATATATCAACAAAAAATAAATTAAAAAAAAAAAAACAAAAAAAAAAACATTTCATTAAATAAATTGATAAAATTAAGTTCATGTATCATTTCTTCGTGTTTGAGAAGGGGGCCCCCACATGAAAAACTTTCCAGAGGCCTTGAACAACCCATAGCTGGCTCTGTGTATTTGTAGTTCCAGTAATGCATACACCTTTGAGCTAAATTTGTTTTAATATACTTTTTGTAAAATACTTTATGTAAATACATTACATATATACATTAGGCAACAAAAAATTTTCCAAATATATGAGACATAATTGTGTGGCGAAAAAAGTCAATTATTGCAATACCACAAAAATAGATGTATTTCTTTTAATGATTGGTTAATAAATGAACTGAATAAATTATATTCAAATTATTAAAATGTTTTAAAAATATTATTTTTAAATTGAATAAACATTTATTTTTTTCAAAATGATTTTTAGAAAGACATAGAAAAATAGTTTGAAACAGAGCATCTGTTTTTAAGTATAAAACATAAAGCCAAATATCTTATTTTCTAAATGATTACCAAAAAGTATACATATATTTTAAAAGATTAAAAATTCCATAAAGATAGATGTAGTCTGACTAGAGACATAAACAACTTGTTGTATATTTAAAGATATATCACAAAACTTAAACAATTTAAACAATATTTAAGCACTATAATGAGAAATTAATATATAAAAACAAAATAGACAGCATGAAAAAATTTATATTTTTTGCCATTAGGGTACAAAAACGACTTATTAAGTCTAAATATGACTTCATATAATGGTTTATTTAATTTTTATAGAATTTTTTACTTAATTTATTATTTAGTAAAAAATTCTATAAAAGTATTTATAGCATACATTTTAAAGCAGACTTCATCTTTTTTTTTTTCATTATAAATAAAAAATAAACTTAAAAAATAAACTTACCATTTATAGTCAGATCACTGTTTTTAAATTGTTGCTTACGATCATCAAATAACTTGTTGAAAGCATAATCACTGGCTGTGCTAGATACATGAACAACTCTAGCATTTGGTTTTAATATAGGAAAGAGAGCATCACAAATCTGAATTGTGCCAAAAAAATTTGAATTGATAGTGACTTCTGCTCGCTCTGAAAATGGTACATTGCTACCTTCTTTATAAGCTATGGCTGCATTGTTAACTAACACATCAAGACCACCATGTTTAGAGAGTAAATGATCACCTAGAGAATTAATGCTATTTTGATCTGTGATATCAAGCTGATGATATTCAGCATGCAGATTTAAAGCAGCTAATTCTTCTACAGCTTTAAGTCCAAGTTCTATATTTCTTGATGTTAAATAAACAATTTTTTCTTCTTTATCCTGCAAAAGTAGTTTTACTATTGATTTACCTATTCCTTTGTTTGATCCAGTAACTACAAAAACACGTGGCGACAACATTGCAAAAACAGCAACTACGTATACTTGTTGAACTATAATAGCATATCGTATCCAACGTTCCTACCTCGTCATTAATTTATTCTAATTGATGACGAGTAGGAACGCCATTAAGGAGGACAAACAAACGTAAACAAATAGTTCAAGCAATGTCAACAAAAAGCTAGTATTTTGTCACAGCTTGATTCAAAGATATTTAGAAAAAAAAGGCTTTTACCGTTAACCCATATCTTCTTAAAAATACTGATTTTTCTGATAATATAGATAGTTATCCAAATGTTACATAAACGGATATTGTTAACTATTGTTAACAGGGGCCTCGGAAGGTTGAAATAAATAACAAGACGATGGCTCCGCGCAAAATCGGACTATTTGCAATCACCGCTGAAAACAAAATTGCTTTATCTGCTATCTCCGTATAAAACAAAATTGGTTTATCTGCGATCTCCGCGTTAAACAAATTTGGACTATCTGCATATTTTCCAGATACATTTTTGGAATATCTGCGTTTTTCGGGTGCATAAATTTTAGATTTTGTTTTTTTAAATATTTGAAGATTGTTATAAAATTTTTTAAATGTTTTTAATAATAGCAATTATTTAAACATTTATTAATGGCGATTATTTAAACACAAGTCCTTGATCATAACTTGATTAAGTTTGTGAGTAATCAAGACTTGATTACTTGATTCAAGTAATTTTAATTAAGATAAATAGACTTCATTTAACTTATGTTGTTGTTAATATTAAAATTTATTATTATAATAACAACATAGCATTTGTTATAAAACATTGTTATGTTGCATACTAATTGATAAATTCATAATATATACTTTATTAATTTTATTTAGTTTTTTGTCATTTACCAAAATGGTTTTAGTTAGAAATTTTTGTGTTAACTTGTTGTTGTGACTAATAACTTTAGATCAAATAAAATTCTTATTATGTTATGTTGCATTGTTGCTAAGTGGTGTTTATATGCAAGATTATCCTGCATATGAAGTCCACTTAACTTTCTATAAATGTTATATTGTTATAAATGTATTTTCTAAAATTGAATTAAATTGCAAGCACTTTTAGGAAATAGCTGTAGTAATAAACATCCTCAGGAGGTTCACTAATACTGAAAATTCCAGAAAATTCAATCCTGAAAAATTCTTCATGATTATACAAATATCTAAAAAGCTTCTAGAAAAGTCTTTAATAATGCTATAGATTCTTAGAGAATTGTTAACAAGGCCAAAAGTAGCAAGGCCAAGGCCACATGTTAGAAGGACAAGGCCAATACCAAGGTTAAAACTTACAAGACTAAAGACAAGGCTAAGGCCACATGTTTCAAGGCCAAGACCTACGCAAACATTTTCAAGACTTAAATTTTTGCTTTACCTTAAGGCCAATTATTAACAAAACTGTAGGTAGCAAGTGCTGTGACAATACACCACATGTTGTAAAATTATATCAAGGTTATGCGCAGACTTCAACAAAGTCAATAAAAAAGTATACTTGTAGATATATATGAAAACCAAAAACAAAAATTCATAAAAATTAAATCTTTTAACTCTTTAATTTTATGTATTTTTTATGAAGGCCAAGTTTCTAAAAGGTCAAAAGTTTCTAGAACAAGACCAAGGCCTTAATTTTTGGCCTTAAGGCAAGGCCAAGGACTAACAACTCTAGATTCTTATATTACAATACTGCATTAATACTTTCTTAAATATTTGCAGTATTCCATAGTTAATTTTTAATATTTTGATGACCTAAAAAAGTTGTTTTGCAGAGTAAAATTGATTATTTTATGTTTTGATTATTTAAAATATGCATTTTGTATTTACTTATGTTTACTTTTTTAAAATGAATATAAATAAAAGTGTAGCTATGTTTCTGTTTCTTTATATTTATATAAATATACATTTATATATATATATATATATATATATATATATATATATATATATATATATATATATATATATATATATATATATATATATATATATATACATATATATATATATATATATATATATATATATATATATATATATATATATATATATATATATATATATATATGTATATATATTTATATATATGTACATATATATATATATACATTTATATAAATATGTATATATATATATTTATATATATATATATATATATATATATATATATATATATATATATATATATATATATATATATATATTTGTATGAATATATTAGTATATATAAGCAAAGTATAACAGATTTAGTTAACATAGTACAAACGTTCTACTTTTTTACAAATAATGCAACAACAATTAATTATTATTGAATTGTTGTTATTTATCATCTTTCATTTTATTTGTTATTACTAGTTTGGTTCATTATTTATTAAAAATGCATGTCAAGTAAGTTGGTTCAATTTAAGAAGAATCACAGACCAATGTTTGGCATGATCCACCACAGTCTCTACCTATACTTATTAAAAGTTTCTGATATTGTTTAAAGAAATGATCATAATTCAAAAGTGATAGTTTTTGTGTTACAGCAAATTTAACATATCAAATGCAAAAGTTATGTTTGCAACACTTACTTTTAACAACATTTTTGAATAATTTAGTAAAAACTTAATAACTAACTAATAAATACTAAATAGCTAATTTTGTGACAAAAAGACAGAAACAGAAATACTTTACGGAAAGTATATAATATATTGTATAATTAGGATTTTCAGTTTTGAAAAAATAGGGCAGGAAAATGTGACGGTTCAATTTGTGGATTTACATAGAAATTCAAATTAACAGTACAAATTACTTTGCAAGTAATGCTTATGTTTATTCTCAGAAAACTTTTGATATATGTAGAAAACTTTCAATATATATATATATATATATATATATATATATATATATATATATATATATATATATATATATATATATATATATATATATAATAACTAGTTTCAAGTTTAAGTTCAATTTTTGAATATGTTTATTTTCTTATGTGATACAAAACTGTCTTAAGTTTGTTTTGATATTTGTTTGATATTTATTTTAATAAAGTTTTTTTCTCAATTTTTTATTTGTGCGAGTTAGACTGTTGATAAATATAACAAGATAAAAAATGATGATATCATTTTTTATCTTGTTATAATAATATTATATTAAAAAATTTATTTATATTTACATCTTTAACTACATGTAAATACAGTTTTTATATCTTAACTTATCAGATTCTTATCAGATTATTAAGGACGAAGAAGTCTCACCATGGGGAGTCTCACCATGTTTAAATGCACAAATACTTTACTCTTGTAGCAAATAAATATTTTAAAAAATTAAATTAATAAATGTAAATATATGTAAGTTCATAATAGTATTTTTTTTTTTTAGTCGTATAAACCTTATCTACTTTAAAACATAAATATTTTCTGTCAACATACAAACTTAAATGTTAAAAAAAAGAAATTTTGATGTTCTAGAAACGGTATTACATAAACAAATTGTAAACGAAAACCAATTTTTAACTAAAAAAGAAAAAGTTCTATTTACTTAAAAATAAATTAATAAACAATATTATTGTATATAAGTAAAAGAAAAAGGTTTTATAGTAGGATGGGGATGACCCCTGGATTTTAAAAATAATCCTAAACGTTTCTAAAAACAAAATTTTTACATAAGATGACAAAAATAGTCAAAGTTGAATAAACTATAAATAATGCTAAATTAATTTAATGTGCTAATTAACAGTGTTGGATTTAGATGACATTTCTCTATAGGCAATGCTTTAGGCATTTTTATACCCATTAGATATTTCTTATTTTATATATCTAGAATGATTTAAGGGTTTATTTCTTTCAAATCAAATTTAAAAAAACCCATTTTAAATTTCATTTGTACTTTTTTTAAATTTGTTATTGGGCAAAAAAAATCCAGCACTGTAAACTTTGCCATAAATAAATTTCAATATAACATAACATCAAAAGTATATTATGCGGGAAATCATTTAAGTTGTTATTTTGGGGTTAAAAAGCAAATCGGCGTAGAATTCCCAAGCAGTTTTCCTCGCAAATGTCTTAAAATTCATCAAGTCTTGATTTTGATTCTCTTATCGGAATTCTGGATTGATAAGTGTCAATAAGTTCAACTGACGTGTTAATGTTAAGATTTTGCGGAAGAGGTTTGTAATCTTCAGTGGAAGAGTAACTTAATTTATAAAATATTTTTGGCTCTGGAGTGTAGGGTAAGGTTGCCGATATTGTACCGGCGCCTAAATTGTATTTTTGCTGTATCTAGTTATTTTTACAACCCAGAAAATATCTTTTGACTTAAATTTTATCTTTGCTATGTTGAATTAACGAATTAATTGTTTTTTCGTGAGATGAAACTAGATTCTGGCAGCAGTTACCTCGAGTTGATAAGATGCCAAAGTTTTCTTATTTTTGGGGTTCAATGTTTAGATTTGTTAGACTTTAAACATGTTAAATATGTCTTTTTTATCATATTTATGTGAAAGCACTAGTTATATGAATTCAAATTAAATTCCAAGAAATTAAAATACATTAGCATTTGTTGTCTAATTTCGTTATAAACTCAAAGTGAGTCTAGTCGCGTAATTCGTACCTCACTTAAGGTCTTAAATTGTACCAAGGCTGCCATTTTGAATGCTCAAAATACGCGTGAAGTATGTAAAAATAATATGAATTTTAAAATGTCGAAACGGAGATATGGTTTGTGGACAAAAGAAGATATGAAAGAGGCTATTTTTGCTTATCGAAATGGTTAAATTGGACTTAACGCTGTATGTGCAAAATATGGAATTCCTAAACCAACATTAAAAAGACATATGAATCATCAAAATATATTTGCAAATGAATCAAATAAACAGTTAGGTAGGTGTAGTATCTTACCTCCTGAAGTTAAGAAAGAATTAGTTGAACATGTTTTGAAACTGGAATCTTGTATGTTTGGAATAAATACAATAGATCTTAGACGATTAGCATTTGAAATTGCTGAAAAAAACAAAATACCTCATCAATTCAACAAAGATGTTGGTGTGGCTGGAAAGAAGTGGTATTACCAATTCATAAAATGCAATCCAAGCCTTAGTTTGAAATTACCTGAGCCAACTTCTATGGCAACAGCCACAGGTTTTTGTAAGGAAAAGTTTGTATTATTTTTCAATAAACTTACTGAACTTGTTGATTCAACACATACAAAAAACCTTGAAGCCTTAGTTCTAGCTCGAGATCAAGGAGTAGTAATGCTTTCTTTGCCATCGCATACTACTCATAGGCTACAACCTTTAGATAGATCTTTTTTCAAAGCTTTAAATGCTAAATATAATACTGCTTGTGATAAATGGATGCGAACCCATCCAGGCAGATGTATTACTCAATATCAAGTATCTCAACTGTTTGGCAAAGCTTACTCAAAAGTTGTTGGTATGGAAATTGCTATTAATGGATTTAGAGACACTGGGATATGGCCGGTAGACAGCTCAGTTTTCCGGGAAGAGGACTTTGTACCTTGTGAAATAATCAGTGGAGAGACGAGTTCAAATGCAAAAGCTTCCCAAACAGTAAGTTTAGTCATACTTTGCCTTTAGTCACATATTTTCTTTCTCATCTTATTCAAATACCATAATTGTTACTTTTGTTCTAATTATATATTTTTTGTTTAACGTTTCATTTATTTAGGATGAACTTATTTTAGAAACAATTTCTGCACATCCAGTGCAAACTTCTTCACTCGAACGAAATCCAAAAAAATCTAGAGCTACTCTATTGAAACATAATGCACATAATGACCCACTCTCTAACGTAACTTTATTATCATCAATGAAAAAAACAGAACAGTAAGTCTTTTATTTTGTTTGTTGCAATTTTACATTAATGGTTACACACACTCAAAACACACACACACACAATACACACACACATGATTATCTCCGAAGATTATCCATAATATTATTATTTTCTTAATTAAAATGAAAATTTAAAGCTAATTTTTACTAGCAGAAAATTTTTAGGCTGAAGAAAATTTGTTAGAATTGTTATTGGTTATTTTTTAGGTTGCAGTGTCTTGACATACCAATAAAAGCATTATCTCCACTTCCAGTTAGAACTTCTCCTCTCAAAAGAAAAAAAAATAATTCTAATACAACTGTATTGACGAGTAGTCCTTACAAAGATGCACTCTCTGCAAGAGCTTTACTGCGACCAAATAAAAAAATAAAGCAGGACAGACAATGTTTAAAAGAGTGAGCAAGCAAATAAATCTCTTCAAAATGAAAGCTGGTTTTGCTACCTCAGTGAAGAAAATATAAAAAAGAGTATGATACAATGCCTTACTTGTCAAGGCTGGTGCCATAATGACTGTGCAGGTGTTAATCAAAAACAAAAACGTTATATTTGTAACTTTTGTCAAGAATAAAGATTTTCTGTTTTGTATTATTAATATAATGTGCAGTAATATCCATCATTTTCTTACCAAAATTCTAGAAACCACATAAGTAAGTTACACATTTAATATAAAAGTTATACCTTATTGAGATGTTTTCAGACTATTCTAGGAACTTTATTACATTGCTTGGCACAGAAAAAGATCTTTATAAAAATCATTCAAAATGTACTGTAAATTAATATAGTATTTGTAAAATCAAGATATAGGTACAATATTGGATTATAATGGTACGATTTAGGATCTTTTTTCCTTAATTGTACCAGTAGCGTGTTTTTAAAATTTAATTCCCTATCAAATAGCAACGTTTAAATATTTGAATATTTCAACTTTTTTAGAACAGTTTATCCCCAAATTATAAAATAAAAAAAGTCTCATTGTTTCTACTTTGTATTTTTGCTCTATTTTTGACTTTACTCTTAGATGGTACAATATCGGTAACCTTACCCTATTTCAGACATCTTATGTTTGTAACTGTTGCATCACCCTTTTTACAACCTGGCCTGATTTCTGTGTAATATTTAATAATGGAATAAGTTTTAAAAAAATCATGTTTGAGAAACTTCACTTTATACTTTGGAAAAGAAACTTTTGCATTTTTAATGAAAGCAATGTAATCACTAGGCTCGTGAATTGCTCTACCTCTCAGATTTCTTTCAATAGAAGCGTGTACACTGTCTCCTTCCATATGGGTATGTCCTTTTTCCAAATATTTCTGCTCAATTATTAAATTATTTTGAAAAGAAAATAAAAGAAGTGAATTTGCTATAGCAGTACAACGATTTTGATAGGTACAGCCATCAGAATATATTGTCACTTTATTTAAGTTTGGATTTTTTTCTTTATAATCTAATAAGTGATAAAAGAATATCGAAGCAAACACATCACTTTCCAGCCCCCCTTTGGTTTCATCCCATAAATAATTGGTTGCTTCTTTTGTGTGAAGGTTATAGATAGTTTGATTACGAATTTTGATCTTTTTTTTAAAATACAAAGCACCGGCAGATAAAACTGGGCATAAAAGAGTTTGCTGGCAATCCATTGTTAAAACTAATTCATTAAGAGCAACGTTTTTTTTATCGAAATCTTTACTACTTTGAGCTTGCGTTTTTAAATACCAGTGATCTGTATAATTAGAGGGGAGAACATAGTCAGGTGTATCTTTTTTTCTTTCTTCGAATTTAATTAAACTTTGTATGAAAGAATATATTGACCCCACAGCTATAAACCCTTAATCTAAGTATATTGTACCTGAATGTTTTAGCCTTGGATGTCCAGTCATCAACTAAATATAGAGTCTTTTGGTATCTTTTCGACAGTAATGAGACTCCAATTTTTCTAAGGAATCAATAAACTTATTTGCATACTTATATACTAGTCTTGATAGTTTTCATTACACAATTGAAAACTATCAAGACTAGTATATAAATCTGGTTTGGATAATGCGTAAGGATTTGCTTTTGGTAATTCTGTCAGACAAAAACGTCTTACTGTGCCATGAGACAATGCGAGAGTGTTTAAAAAAAATTGCTTGCATACAGGCTGTATAGTATTTTTAACTTTAAGGTGGTAGGCAAACTCATTGTTTCTAGAGTATTTATCGTATGGGTTAAATACTGTTCTACTTTTAGTATCGTTAATGCAAACTAATAATTTAACCATTTCAATTTTCAGATTTTTATCAAGTAGACAGAACTCGGTTAAAATATGTTGTCTTGTCTCATTGTTAACTGTTTACAAAGTCATGATGTCTGTTATCTGAAATTGTACAGTAAGATTTTGTCTTTGTTTTGTTTTCAGAAATACTACAATAGTATGCCATAACTGTATGGTTTGACACTTGGTTTCTTAATCCGCCAAAGTGGAGTTATTGGATTTCTTTTGAGTATTTGCCATTGCATTTTTCTTGTAGGACCTAAGGATCTTTTCATTCATTGTAACAAAAAGTTACAATGAATGAAAAGATCCCTAGGTCCTAAGTTATTTTTTATTTCTGATGTAGCTTTGTACTAGTGCTTTATATTGCATACATGCTTCATAAACGTTCCCAGTAAGTTGTTAATAAAATGCAAAAACAGCTCTTTTTTAGTTAACTCTTTTTTTACAGTTTTAAAACTTCATTTCTTCATTTTATCTTCTATCACAAGTTCACTTTTTTTAGACCTTTTTTTTTAGTAGAAATGTTACTTTTTCATTCATATCATTCTCAAATTCTTTACAAACTATTTTTTTGTTTAAAATGTATATTCCACATTTCCTTTCCAGACATGATTCTTTCAGCTCGCCGTCACATGTTATACTTTTTAGCAAGTCAGTAGGATATTTATATGCCAACATCTTAAGACTATACAACTTTTCAAGAATCAAAGAAAAATTCTCATGGTCAATACATAGACAAGCATCTCGTTTACGAAAGTCTGATTGAACAACCCAAAAGGGTCTTAATTTGCAAAATGTGCTATAAGACGTTGACTTGAACTCAGTAGTTTGTTGGAACTCGTTCCACAAACTCAACATTGTATCATTTAATAGTCTTTTTTGTTTTTTCACTTTGTTTCTTGTTATTGTTTCTTTTTTCCCATCAGTTAGCTTACTGGAACTATCTTTTTCTAAAAAGTTCCTAACTTCCATTTCAAGTTTTTGTTTTTTCAGTACATTTGAGGGCTGATTAAAGTTGTATGGTAAGATATATCTTGAAGTAAGATTGTTGAGGCTTCTTTGAAGTCTGTACTTCTTTATTAAATTTCTGCTTAATACCCTGGCAAAATCCTTTTTTTTTTGTCAGTACAACTCTCAGTAGAAAAATTTGATTGTATTTGCGCCTTTAACACTTCGCTAAAAAGCAAGCTTTTCTTTACTTCCTTCGAGCATTTCTTAGCACTGGTCTTTTATTTAACCTGCCTTTTAAGGTGTATTATCTTTAACATATCGCAGTCTGTAGAATTTTTTTTTGTATTTATCACCTCTTTGCTTTAACAAATTGTTTTTTTCTTTCAATTTTTGGGTTTTTTTCTTCAGACTATCTCTATATTTTCTTCGAACTTTTAGCCCGCTTTTTTTTTCTGGAGCTAGATTCTTGACTGGGACCAGGAAGTACGTTTATACCTATTTCATTTTTGATAGGAATATTTACAGTTGGGCTTTTAGGTGGTGTAGACAAACTTTCAATAAGTTGCTATCTCTTCTTTTTCATTTCCCGATTTCTCTTGGTCCTTTCTTTCCAACCTTTTCTTACTGATCTTTTATCCCTTTCTGAAAGTTCATGAATTATTTTTCGTGTTGGTTTTTTTCTTTCTCTATCTTTCTATTTTTGTTCTTCATATTTGTCCGGGTTTTCAGCTTTCATCTTCTCCCTCGCTTTCCGTATACTTAACTTTTTCAATTCTCTAGTTTTTTCTATCTTTCCTATTTTTGTTAACTGTAAATAAAGAAAAAATTGTAACTATCTGGATAGAAACATTTATCTTTTCAATAATAATTAATGAGCTATATAAGCAAAGTTTTTAAATGTTAAAAATGCTAAATATAAGCATTAAAAAGTTCAGGTACAGGTAATATTGTCATTTGTTGTCACATCCGTTCCAAGTGGGTCACGTCTGTTGTTTTCTGTACTCCACAGACGTGATAAATTGAAGGAAAAAAAAGGAGTGCTATGTTTTGAGGCTAAGTCTCTGTTTCCCTTGGAGTAAATATGCCTAGGTAATTGCTATTAAACAAAAGTATTGCTTATAAAAAAGTAAAATTATTTACTCTGAGTATGTTTGCCGCAGATGTGACACACTAAGACTAACAAATTCAACTTTTAAAACTTTACCACTTATCAGCACTAAACAACTACCCTAAAAATTCCCCCATTTTTACTCATTAATAAAAATGTCTGATAGTTTAGCTAGAACAGCAACATAGAGAACTACTGCTGCCTCCTACAGCTTTTTTTTTGAATTAATAACTCTATCCACAGACGTGACATTTAAGGTGGTGACAAGAGCTTCAATTACATAAATGTTACTTTAAAAATATGTTTTGAGGAATATATTATGTCAACTCTAATATTTAATCTTTAATGTATTCTTGATTATTTATTATATATTAAAATAAAAGTAAAGTACTAGTAACAAGATCTAAACTTCTTGGGATTGGCAAAAAGTCTGGGTGGTGACATTCCACGAACGTGACTTGTCACAGTCTGTGGAACATTATTTATTCACTGAAAATGCTATTTTGGATTGGTTTTCATCAGTTTAATATTGTATTAGCTGTATATTTGTTCTTTGCACTGGTTTAAAGTATAAATAGTATAAACTTGAAAAAAAAATTAGTGGGGACAGTATATTGCTATTTTTTTGGAGAATGATCCGTAACCAATTGTAATAGTAGGCAATTACAGTCATTCCGGGTAACTTTGAACGCTTTGCGCTAGGTTTATCTCAACAAAATTTTTTTTACTAACTACTTTTACATAAAAAGTGTTATTAAAAACCAAAATTAAGCAGGGATTCAAAGTTACACTTGCATTTAAGGTAACTTTGAACACTATTAAATTGAATGTCAATTTTAATCAGTTAAATCTAAAAATTTGTTAAAATTTCGTTGTATTAGCTCAAATTAATTAAAAAAAAATCTAATTTAATTATATCGAGAATAAACAAACAAGTTTTTCAATAAAATATTACAAATCACTTAATGAACTTGTTGATCAATTTTTAAGGTTATGAAAGAAAAAATAATTATGACATTTCTATATAATTCCACACAAATAAACACCTGTGACTATAAAACTAAATATTACAGTGTTTAAGTCCATTCTTTTAGTCTTGAGTCACAACTAACTCTTTAATTGAATTATCATGATCATGGAAAATAAGTATATTGTGATTGTTTATTTGCTCCAATGAAGAAACTGCATCATTTTGAGACTTGCTTATTGTCTTTAATAACTTAATAAACATCTACAATGCTTGAACTTTGTGAAACATTAATTTTTTTGTTTATTTTCATAATTATATTTTTTGATCCAAGTGATCTTCCTCTTTTCTTCGTTCGAAAATTATCTTGAC